CCAGAACTCCAGAAACCCTCCCACTGTTGCCCCCCCCCAAAGCACCAAGAATACAGTGCATCCCCTGCCCCAGCCTGTGAGTTTCTATCTATACCTTGTGGCTAATAGCCATTGATGGACCTCTGCTCCATATGTTTATCCAATTCCCTCTTGAAGCCGTCCTTGCTTGTAGCCGCCACCACCTCCTGTGGCAGTGAATTCCATGTGTTACTCTTTGGGTGAAGACGTACTTCCTTTTATCTCTACATTTATTATATCTTGGCAGTAAATAGGGCTACAGGCTTAGGTGTTTGTTTTTTTAAAAAAGATGAAAGCTGGGAATTCAGAAGTGTGGGAGGCCATGTTTTGGGGGAGGGGTATCTCCCTAAATGCCCTTCCATAGCTATAATCCTGTAAAACAGAATATCAAATGGTACTCATATCTACTATTTGTGACAGTTCCCCCTCACTGAAGTGCCATCTGTTTCTCTGCCTCTCTTAATCTCCACTAACTATGCCACCACAAGGATCACACTGGATCCACATTTAGTTAAATCCCTGTGAGAACACTGTGACTTTAAAGGGGTAGTGTTTAACATGATATGGATCTTAGAGGGTCAGAGCAGATGAGCAGAGTAATGACTTAAACCAGCAAAGCAATCTGGTCCTTCTAATATTGATTTCTAAGTTAAGTAAACAGTAAAGTTCATCTTACATTACACTGCATCCTGGATTTATGTGACAATCCCCGTTTGGTGACTACAGTCGAATCTGCATTGGTATCTTCTGCTGTTTTGGCGACGCTCCTGCTCCATCTCTAAAAAAGATGTCCACATTTCTTTTGGATTCACTCTCGAACTGCACCGTTATAATTTCTGCTGTCTGCATTATTTTATTGCCCTATGGTTTCGACTCCGTCATACTTGCAGCATCTCTCCGGTTCAACTGGATGTGGTTTAAGACTGACTAGTGTGGTACTCCGAAACCATTCATTTTTGGTTTCAGCCAAACCACTGAAGACACATAAGAACTGCCGAAAACACAGAATTTTTAAAACAAAACAAATAAGAATAAACCGTATTTTAAGAAATATATGGAGTTCAACATATTTTTTAAATTTGCTGCATTTATATCCTGCTTTTCCCCACAATGAGGACCTAAAGCAGAATATGTCATTCTCCTCTCTCCATTTTATTCTCTCAACAACACTGTGAGGTAAGTTAGGCTGAAAGTGTGACTAGTCCAAGGTTGGTCAGCGAGGCTCCATGGCAGAGTACAGATCTGAGCCGGGGTCTCCTACGTCCTAACAGCTACACCACACTGTCTCTCAGCATACACAATAACCTAACCTTTTCTAAACCTACCACTAATATCTTCTTTTCCTAACCCTTTATAAAAACCCTACCTACCTCGCATAGTTCTACCCAAACAAATTTAACACAAACTGTCTTTCTTTCTTACCCTCTCTCCAATATATGTACCTCCCCTCAATCATATTCTCTCATCCAATCAGATCACTTCAGTACTGTTTCTTTCATTGGTTCTTTCTCTCTCTCATTCTGTCACTCAAAGTCATTCCACTTCACACACACTTTCCACCTTCCTAGCCAACATTCTTACCTTTTAAGTCACCCATCAAGAACTATGTACACCAGGGGTCCCCAGTTTTTTGACCTTGAAGGCACCTTGGAAATTTGGATATAGTATGGTGGGTGCAGCCACAAGGCAGTAAGCTGTCCCTGTGGTAACCAGGTGCTGGGTAGCAGGAGCTGCAGAGGCAAGGCCTCAAAACTTGAAGGGAAGCTGGGAGTCCTGACCCCCACAGTGGGGGATTCCGAGAGACAGAGAGAAGACCCTCCAGGTATCGGGAAAACCCAGGAGGGCAGGGTGGAATGGGGCTTGCAGACCAGAGCAGGACTGTTTCGCCACACTTCAGCAGCAGCAGTGGGATCAGAAGAAACTGAGAACTTGATTGGCCAGGAATTTTGAATTGACACACATATGCACAGAGAGAGCAACAGAAGTTTTGTTTTCGGGTAGATTGGATTTGGGTCAGATTAGACTACCTAGGATGGAGTTAGGAGAGCAAGTTAGACTACTGAAGCTGACAAAGCAAGAGCTGCAGGAAGAATGACAGAAACAGTGAATAGAGTGAGAAAACAGGACTGCTGATGAGATGAAGTCTCTCCTGCTAAGCTGTGGCAGGTCAGTAGGGGTGGCTGCTGCTTAGCGCCCAAGTCAGCAGGATGAGGTCCGGTTCAAGGAGCTAGAGGTGGAGAAGTTGTATTTGCAGGCAGAGAAGGAGAGGAGGGACCAGTTCCACCCAGTCATTTGAATGTATATTAGTAAAATCTGACTCAGCCTAGGGAACTGAGGGTAGAGACTAAAATCCTTCTTATGTCCTGGTTTGATAATGGCACATGAGAAGCTGACGGTAGTTCAAAAATAACAAACTGTTTTATTTAACTTTGAGGGGAAATGATCAGGGAGGAAACAAGTGTAGGACCTATAAGGTGAACAAGCAACAGGAATGAAGTAACTTTGTATAAAAATAAACACACTAGCTCCTGGGGTGAAATATTTCTAGAGAGAAAATAGCTCTGGTGGAAAATATTTAAGAGCATTGTCCTTGCAAAACCATCATGTTCTTACAGTGTAGGAGAATCCATTTCTACAACTCCAGCATTTTAAGTTTTTTTAAAAAATAAGTATACTACCTCCCTCGCCCCACAGATTGTAGGCTTACACAGTCTGAGGCAGTTCCATGGAGACCTAAAAGTTTCTCAGTGGAATTTTCCCTGCCATTCAGCCTATTGTGCTGCTGAAAGGTCCTGGAACCAGGCATGTGAACATGGGGGGGGGGGGGGAACTACTGTTTCTTTGAATGCTCCCATGAAATATTCACTGCTTATCCAGATCAAATGCTGGCACTGCTTGATCCAGTTAAAGGCAACACTGGTAGGCTCTGATGCCATCAAAATCGGAACAAACTCTTCTCCTTTTGATTTTAAATTACCCAACAGGTAACAGAGAGGATGAGGAGCCCCCCCCCCCCCCCAATCCAATTTGCACATAAAAAAAAAAGAAGTGGCTCATTGAAACAGAATAATGTGTTTGGTAGCTGTAGCAACAAGTTCTTTGTGGCTTGAGAAGAGCGCAAGAGGGAGAATATGCTTCCCAAACACTCTGCCTGTATTGATACTCAACATGTCTGTGGAAAAAATAAAATAGAAGCAGCAACTGGACCCGAATGCTCAGTCCCTAAACGAACTCTCTAAAGAGAGATGTCCTCTGCTTAACTGAATGGATACATTGTCCTGATGCAACGGTCTCTTCTAGATGCCAGGGCTGGAGCACACATACAATGGCCCCCAAGAACTACCCAGTTTTTCCTCCATTATTGGGGGGAGGGCATCCTTGTGCATTCATTACATTGTGTAAGGAGCTGGTCTCTCCACTGAAAAGAATGGGAGAAGTCAGAAATGTCTCTGAGTTAATATTGTGAATGAAAATTAGACTGTATGATTTTGTCCCCAAAAGGCTACTAAAAGGGGAAGAAGAGATTGTTGACTTTACTAAAGTTTTTACCTCCTCATACTGTATTTTGAGACTATGTAGATTCTTCTTGTTTAAAGACAGTACCCTCCTTAGGCTGAGCAGTAAAGATATTTGCCCAAGCAAACCTCTGCTCCACCTTAGTTGCATACTCTTTAAACAGCCTCCAACATACATACATCAGCCAAACAGCTTTAAGTAGCCTCAGTCTGACATGGAATTGTTGTTTTGCAGGACCAGCTTGCCTTATGGGAAAAAGGCTGGCTGCATTGCAGAAGACTTAGATGTGCACCCTGCTTCTGCTGCAAACAAGCAGCTCCTTTCTCCAGTGACTCAGCGGAATTACTGCCATTTATTTTCCTGGAAACTGCTGACGATCCAGCACCATGCTGGTTTAAAATCTGCACTAAATCACAGAAAGAAACCATCTGGGCCCTAAACTTGTCATTGTTGTTATTCAAGTTTATTATTTTGTCTTTGGAAAGTACCCATATTTAAAAAGATAATTTAACAATTTACCTTTAACATTTTAACATAACATAGTCTGAATCCCAAACAGCAGTGTGTATGTGTGGTAACTATCCCTTCCTTTGACCAAAAAGTTCAGGATAACCTATGTGGTTCTTTCCCTTCCTTAATACCCTCACAATTATTTTGTGATTAGGCTGAGACAGTATGATTGGCTAGAGATCATACAGTGAGTTCCATGGCTGAGTGGGGAATCTGAATTCAAGTCTCCCAGCCCTTCCCTTTCGGGAAGTCCCAATTCAAATCTCTTCCCCCACCCATGAACTAGGGTTGCCAGGTCCCCATTGGCCACCAGTGGGGGGGGGGGAGGGGGGGGGAGGGTTGCCAGCTCCAGGTTCGGAAACTCCTGGAGATTTGGGGATGGAGCCTGTGGAGGGCAGGGACCTCAGTAGGCTACAATGCCATAGAGTCCACCCTTCAAAGCTGCCGTTTTCTCCAGGGAAACTGTAGTCTGGAGATGAGCTGCAATACCTGGAGGCTGGTGTCCCTATGTGAGCTCGATAGGTGGCCTTAGGAGTGTCATCCTCTTTCAGCCATAGTCTCTTGTCTGTGATATGGGAGAATAATAATAATAACAATAATCTACTTTACACGGTTGTGGTAAGGATTACAAGACAATGACTTGGAGCCAATTGAGTGTTTCTGTGGATGGAATGATTTGTGCCTGCACAGCATAACTTTCTCGCCTCCCTTCCCCCCCACCTGCAACTCAAAATTCCCCCTATATTTTATGCTGGGAAGAAAAAAAGCAGCATAAAAAAGTTAGTATGCAAATGGGCTCCCAAAAGAGCAGTAACTTCAGAAGTGGGCTCCACTTCAGAAAGTGGCCTATGAGATTCAGCAACATTACCTTTCACAGTGTTGAGTTTAATGCTAATTAAAGGACAATGTGTAAGATTTCACACTTCAGAGTTTATTATTAGAGTTCACAAGGCCCTAGTAGTTGCACTCAAAGCTATCATAATCAGAGGTGAAAGCAGCAACACCTACAGAAATTGCTGCAGACCTTGAAAATGCAGTATCTGTCCAGTCACACGGCTCTTCCTTTGTTCTCTGGGCTGCAGCAATCTCTTTCCAGTTGCTTATATTACTGCATGTTGTAACTGCTGCTGTGGATAGAGAGTCTCACCGGTGAAACTAGATAAAGCCATTTCAAGTTCATTGTTAAAGGAGTCTGTCCTCACTTTTATTGCTTGTAGCGCAGGACTGGTTCCTCCCCCAAAATATGACTGGTCCTTTTGATCTGTAATAACAAGAAATGAAACCTGTTCAAATGAGCACGTGATGTGGCATACAAAACTAGATGGAGAAAAATGGCTGAATGATGGTGATTTCTGCCGACGGATGGAAGAGACTGGGCTCTTTGCTGTCCCGGAAACCAGCATAATCTGAGACTGAAGCACAGATTACGTTTTCCAGTGCCAGTTTGTTTCTGGCTGGTTATGATGTCATTCTTTATATTCCGCTTTTGATCAATGAGCAATTATCAGTTTCCTAGCAGTATGATCAGCTGTCCCAGAGGCTCCCAAGCACCCAGTGGCTTAACAGGGAACATGAAACACCACTGAAACTGTGGTTAAGGGCTAGATTATGTTAAATAGTGGGTTCCATTGATGAGCAGGCCCCAAGTCTAGTGATCAGCTCAGCTTTATTAGTGATTCAGCAGATACAAGGCAAAACAGGGCAAGAGCCCTGTTTAAATTGCATGCAAACACCACACCCAACCTCACCCAACTCCCAACGATAGGCGGGAAGGGTGGGGTACAAATTTAAATAAATAAATAAACATTAATTCCTCATTGGACACCTCCAGACCTGGTGGGCTATTGTTCTAGAGCTCCAAGCTCAGGCAGTCTCCGGTAGACAGTCCTGGGATATTCCAGCCCCAATACATAACAGATGACCAGTATTCTCCCCCCCCCCATTTTGCTTGGCTAACTTTTCCACGGCTTTTGGTAACCTATAATATAAGAGTGAATCATATATTTGACCTCACATAAGGCACCAGAGTAAAGAGAGTAATTTACAGGTACATGCTCTATAACTAGTGCAGTCCCTCAGCCTCACTGATTGCACTGAGAATGAGAGGAGTAAACCCAAAACTGGTCTTCGCCACCTCTGAGATCCTGAGCAGCTGCTCTGTCCATAAGCCAAACTTTAGTGGCCGTGAACTGGTACGTCTCTGTTGAAATCAGTGAAGCTCTTGCTGATTTCTGTCTGCTGACGTTGTAGACACAGGCACATTCATCAAGGTTCTCTGCCCCCAGAGAATACATGCTGATGGGCAAACGGCTTTCTTTGCTAATCTATTCAACTGCTGTATTAGAGATTTTCAGAACGCAAAACTCCCCCCCCCTTTTTGGTGAGCATTTTGTGTGTGTGTGTGTGTGTGTGAGTATGCCTGGAAGTCATGGTTGACTTCTGGTGACCCCTAATGGGGCTTGGACATTTCAGAGAGGTGGCTTACCATTGCCCACCTCTGTATCCCAGCCCGGGTATTCCTTGGAGGTCTCCCTTCCAAGTACCTGCCAGAGTCGGCCCTGCTTAGCTTCAGAGATCTGACAAGATTGGGCTTGCCTGGGCTATCCAGGTCAGGGGAGAAGGCAAAACGTTTTACAAAGGTTGGATGGAGCCAGGTGAGCTGAAACAAATTTATCTTCTAGCCTTTCATCAAATTACTTTAGAAAAATGTTCAGCATTTTTAGGGTTTGATCCACCTTGAATTTTATACATAGCCTGGTTTGACTGATGGTATTCCCTGATCTTTTACATATGGATTGTGGGGTGTATATGACAAGAAGGTGCATTCTTTCTATGCCTGCTTTGTATGCATGTCCTGCTAGGCATCGTGTTTGAATACAGCAGGGTGCCCCAGCTTTAGTTGAGCCTGTGGGCACTTTTGGAATTCTGAGAACAAACAGAAGGGGCCACAAGAAAGTGGCTGCCAAATGGGATGGAGCCAACCACAAAATGTTTGGGAGGTTCAACAAAGATGATGTCTCCTGGGCTTCTCTGAAGTACTTCCTATATCAGTGAAGTGGAGGAAAGCCAGGGTTAGCTTTGCTTCAGGAAAGCTTTGGGAATAAGCAAGTGGGTGCCAGAAAACACATTGGTAGGAACCATGGTACCCATAGACACCATGTTGGAGATCACTAGAATAAAGTGTACATGCACAAAATCCGATATTGTGTTTGCCTGAACACTGTTATCAATGACCCAAATAAACTCTGAGGATTAGTCATGTCCTATGTTCCTAGACACATTGCATTTTATGTGTGCACATACTATTAAAATATTATACCGATATATGGATGTCCAGAGGCCTTGGAGGAAGGACAAGGGTATACTAATGCTCCCTGTCCATATGTAGGTGAGAAACTGGGGGAGAATATCATTTTACCCATGCCAGTTCTTGTACATGAAACTGAGGTGCAATGAGAGAAGGTGAAAACTCAAGCTATAATTGCTAAAAGTTGTACGTGACCTCTTGAAGAAAGAGGCTGTCTAAGATCGCCTATTCATTGCTACAGGCAAATGAAGAGATAAGAAGCAGACAAAGCAGCAACCCAGAATAGAATCCTGGTCTTATTGGGAGAAAAATGTTCCAGGTGATAATGAATTGCTCCAGATTATATCTCCTTGTATAGAAGAGAGCTTAGACCAAAAGAGAAATGTTTGCTGGTAATAAATAAGAGCTTAGGCCAAAGAGCTTAGACCAAAGAGAAATGTTTGCTGGTAATGCACTGCCAAGTGACACAGAGCTAGGCAAATATGTGCTTCAGGTTGCTGGATTTTTTCAATTGATCAGACAAACTCCATTGTAGTGCAGAAAAGCAAAATTCCTCCAAGGACCTAGATGAGCCAACTGTTATTGTTCAGGAACAAAGCAGTGAAATACGTCAATAAAGCTGGGCAAAAAGGCAGGTTAAAGGTAAAGGGATGGACTCAGTGATGAAGTCAATGATAAAGCAATTGGAAAGTTAGGGGGAAAGTAGCAGGAAAAAGAAAAGAAGCAAGCATATGACTTGTTTGAAAGAGAAGCCTTTCTCTCTGCTTTCCTCCTTAGCATTATCTGCCTCATCTCTCAGTCAGCAACACTATGACATCACCATACCAGATTAACTAGTTTTTTTTGCTAAAGTACCCAGAGTCTAGCCTGAAGGCTCAGTCTTATCAGAACTGGAACTGATATTTATTAATCCCTTCAAGCTCTTGAAGAGAATATGCTTCAAATTTCAGTCAATTCACAGTGTGGAAACTCCATTATTCTCCTTCTGTTATATATTGGGGCTGGAATATCCCAGGACTGTCTACCAGAGACCAACTAGTCATATTTCAGCAGGTGGATTTTTTAGAATTTGATGGTTCTAAGATGAAGATGGCAAAGTGGTAATATGATGATTCTTTCATGCATCCGGATCCACTTTCACTGTAAAGCCAGGATGTGAGTTAGGACTTAATAGCAGGGATCATTTCCTGAGGGAGCACACAGGAGCAGAGCTCTGGCAGTAAGGAGCCCAGGGGGCGGGCACATGCAACAAGCCCCACCCTTTGCTCCCAGCAGCCCTCAGTCGGGCCCCGAGGAGCAAGAAGCAGGCAGGTAAGTTGCAGAGCCCCCCCCCGGCCCGCCTTCAGGTATAAGCTCTCCCTCCTCTGTGAGGGCAGATCTGCATGTCCCCCCCCCACATATCTAGCAATCCAAAACAGTCCAGTGGCACCTTTAAGATCAAGTTTTATTCAGGTACAAGCTCTCCCTCCTCTGTGAGGGCAGATCTGCACCCCCCCTCCCAATAGCTAGCAATCCAAAACAGTCCAGTGGCACCTTTAAGATCAAGTTTTATTCAGGTACAAGCTCTCCCTCCTCTGTGAGGGCAGATCTGCACCCCCCCTCCCAATAGCTAGCAATCCAAAACAGTCCAGTGGAACCTGAGTGGTGGGTGTTGCCTTCTGACACACTTCTGGGAATGTCAGGGGGTGTGGCTTATACAAATAAGCTATACTAATAAGTTATGCGAATGAGCTCCTGCACCTCTTTTTCTAAGAAATGACCCCAGGCGATGGCTCCTCTCTAAGAGATGAAGGGGTAGCTGTTACTGTTCTAGAGGGAAGTGGATTAGGACTGGCCACTGATGTGTAAAGAATGCACTGTTTGTGGCCTGTGCAAAAACAGAAGACATCATATGGAAACATGAAAAAAACATCAGTTGAGTGGCTGAAACACAGGAAATCCTTGGTATGGAAGCAGCCCTAGTGTAGTTTCAGGACTATGAAATCCATGATGCACTGTCACCTAAAGTGAACTATCCATACATGACAATATGGGTTATTTGTCAAAATAAACTACTGTTCTAGAGAAAAATGAATTAGGACTGGCCACTGAGAGAGTGACAAACAGTATTGACGGCTTGACAAGGTCTAGAGGCCACAGGAGGAAGGTTGCAGGCCTAGCATGTCTGGGAAATTATAAATGTCTAGAAGTGTACGAGGTAAATGCTAGAGGTAAATGCTACAAATGCTAGAAGTGTCCGAGGTAAAATGGCGGAACTGGAATGCTTAGTGTCAGAGGAGAACATAGACATTGTGGGCATTTCAGAAACTTGGTGGGATGAGGATAATCATTGCGATACAATGATTCCTTGATAGAAATTATATGGGAGGGAAGGGTTGGAGATGCAGTGGCTCTGTATGTCAGAGACGGTATACGGTCCAGTAAAATTGAGAATCTAAGAGAAACAGATTCACTTACAGAAATGCTGTGGGTGGACATAGTGTGCCCAAAAGGAAGCTTAACTCTGGGAGTTTGATATCGCCCACCAGATCAAAGGTTAGAGGATGATTTAAAAACAGTGAAAAAACTAAGGAAACATCTAGTCACAGAACCTATGGGGAGGGGAGGAGGTGATCCTGGACTTGGTCCTAAGTAATGCTTAGGACCTGGTGAGAGATGTTAACATGATAGTACCGGTTGGGAACAGTGACCATAATGCTATTAAGTTTAGCATTTATGTACATAGGGAGTTGCCCAAAAAGACCAACGCAACCACATTTAACTTCAGAAGGGATAACTTATCTCAAATGAGGGGGCTTGTGAAGAAGAAACTGAAAGAAAAGGTCAGGAGGGTCCAATCACTTTTGGAACCTTGGAGACTATTTAAAACTACAATACTGGAAGCTCAGATAAAATGTATATATGCCGCAGGTTAGGAAAGGTACAAATAGGTATTTAAAAAGGCCTGCATGGTT